TGTTCCGGCGCTATATAATATGCTTTTCGAGTAATTAGTCGTCGCTTTAAAATATGCAAATCATTTTAAGTTTAACGTTTTGTTACGCCGATATACAAGCAATAAGTAATGTACTATAAATATATATAATGATGATTTTCTCGATATGTTTGCAAAAAATGTGCAAGTTGAACATTTAACGCGGTAATTCCAACAGACCTATATAAACCTAATTTATTATTCGAATATTTAGGCATTAGATATATATCTGGGGTTAAATTGGCCATCGTACGTTTCAAGAGAATCCAAATATCGGGCCTCCCTTTACGACTTAAGTCCTTCGCTGCTGTTGTGCGCCGCGAAATTGGAAAGTTTTAATTACCCTACGACCGTACTTACGGGTTAATCGGCCCGGGGCGGCTTTACGGGGTGGGGTGGAGGGGTGGTCCTCGGGAAGTTTGGTCCGCCCGCGGACATTAAACGCGGCGTTTCCAATTACGCCGGTGCATCTCTCGCCTTCGTCGTCTAGCGTCGCGTCGCGTGCACGCGCAAACCTCTCGATCCGTTCCGAGTTTCGCAAGCCCTCGGCGGTCGTTAACCTTACGCGAAAATGGATAAGACGGTTCCTGGCAACGTCGCCTATATTATATATATATCTATATCTATAGACCGGGTACGTCGTAGACGAGCGGCGCAAGTGCCATTGAAAGGGATGCCTGCATCCGCGACGCGGGATGTATCCAGACGTACGTGTATACGGTGTGTCTCGTACGCTGCATTTCCCACGGATATTCCGAGCCAAGTGGAGAAAAAAGGTGTCGTGTCCAAGACAGATGTTCAACGCTAATTTTTAAGAATTTAAGGCTCCTGTCGCGGTCATGTTAGATTGTGACGTCAGAGGCGAGAACGTACACGCTGGAAATTCTTATAGATGGCATTCCCTAACAGCACGCATATTCGAAAGACGTTCAAAGGATATCCAGAAGATCATCCAGAGGATGCTGATGGGACAAAGAGATTCGAAATAAAGAGATATTTCGATGAAATAACACTTCAGATGGCGTTAACACACTCTTCGAACTATCCTTTTTCTTTATAGAATCAATTAACAGCTGTTTTGTTACGCTGCATTTCCCACGGTTATTCCGAGCCAAGTGGAGAAAAAGGTGTCGTGTCCAAGACAGATGTTCAACGCTAATTTTTAAGAATTTAAGGCTCCTGTCGCGGTCATGTTAGATTGTGACGTCAGAGGCGAGAACGTACACGCTGGAAATTCTTAGATGGCATTCCCTAACAGCACGCATATTCGAAAGACGTTCAAAGGATATCCAGAAGACATCCAGAGGATGCTGATAGGACAGAGAGATTCGAAATAAAGAGATATTTCGATGAAATAACACTTCAGATGGCGTTAACACACTCTTCGAACTATCCTTTTTCCTTTATAGAATCAATCAACAGCTGTAAAATGACTGTGATATGAAGCCCAGTCCATCTGAAATAGCGTTTCATCGAAATATCTTTTCGTTTAAAAATAGCACCTAAGAACTTTCAGCGTCTATACTTTCTCATCTCTGACGTCACGATCCAACATGGCCGGACCCAGAAGCCTTAAAGGGGTATATCGATAGTCGCGGTATCCGAAACAAACTTGAAGTTGATAATTAACGAGCACTTTGTGGTGCGTTAAATTAAAATGTATATCTACACCTTATATACATATGTATCACGCGCACGCACACGTCTACCATCTTGTCTCTAAGCTTTCAACGTGGCGTGTATAATGAGATAACCGGCCTTATAACGAGATTATCACTCCGCGCGACGCGCTACTCGCTTTTCTAAGGCAGCTTGACGGCGACAGGAGACAATTACCTGTTAAACGCGCGGTCGACGCGACGGTTAGGCTAACGGTAAAAGAAGATGCGTCCTATTACTTTGCTAGCGAGCGGAGAAAAGAACGCCGCTATCGGATATAAAGTTGCAGCTTGCTCCAGTTTGAAAGTTACAACGTTCTTTCCGAGTCTTTCTTGTCGCTCGAAACGGATAAATACGCTTAAGAAAGTACACACAGCGACAAATGGATCGGATATAACGTTCTATACATCAGTTTTCAAAACGCAATCACGCGCCACATGCTCTTGGCCAATCGTATTTGTCCTTCTCGGATTATTATTATTACTCACTTCTTACGTCGTAATTCATTTCGCGATCAGAATGTCATCGAGTGATTTGCAATATAATATTTACGAAATAATATTTACGAAAAGCAAACCCAACTATATAGCTCAAATGTTGATGACAGAGAGACGAGAAGATAAACAATCTCTCGCAAAAATTAATAAAATTATGATTAAATAAATGAGATTCTATATTCGGGACGAAAGACAGTCTCAGATATATATATATGTGTGTGTGTGTGTGTATATATATTGTAAAAATATTGCGCAATGTTTTTTGTTATATTTTCTACTTTCGCGCGTCTGACGTCAGAATTTTGGGCGGCTTTAGCGTTTCTTTTTCTCGCCTCTCATTTGCATTTGGATGGCGACGTGCTCGTTAACGAAACGCTTTCGAAAGTTTGCGCGGTTCTCCTTTTTATTACCGACATAAATGACTCGACTTGGCGTGACTCATCGTTTCGCGAGTATAACCATAAACAGGCCTCGTGACGGAAAAACGCGCGTCGCGGAATAACGATTTCGCGACAAGTTGTCCATCGGAGTATCGGTATATAGGATTGTTCTCGTTGTCTCGATGCTCTCGAGTATCCGGCCGATATGTCAACACTCCGGAGGCTACTAGATTTGACAGTTTTAAGTGTCCGATTGCGCAAGAATCCACTTTACGAGCGTATTTTTACATTACTACTCGAGGCTCCGTGACAGGTACTCGACGAGCTCTGTAAAATTCAACAGGTTTCTCGTCGATACGCGTTGCAGACAATATGATGTATCATATCGAGTATTGAGAAACGTGGAGAGAAGAGGATATTTTTAGCATATCGTTATACTTTTTTTTATTCGTGCAACGTTCGATAACAATTGGAACAACAGTCTTGGAAAATCGATCGATTCAAAGCTGTATCACGGTTTTTTCGCCTCGCGTGCGCGAGACACTTATTCATCAAGCTACAAGAGCGCGCGTCACTTTGCAATGAGTAATATAGTAGTAGCGTACAACGCAATTTTTACAATTCACTGCAAACACGTGTTGCGTATACGCAAGCTTTACAAAAACTGCCTACGCAAATAATAAAAATATAGTCATCCTTTGAAGAATTTCGAGCGATCGGCTGAACGCGTTATTTTCGCAAGCAAGTCAATCGCGAGTTCCTTTTTTCCCATCGAGGGACAATAATGTTCATTATAAAGCCGCCTTAACGTCTATCGCGCGGCCGGCAATTCCTCGCAATTACGATGGTCATTGGCAGCGGGTAATTACGTCATCAGAGGCAGAAAGGCACTTGGAACGTGTCTAAAAGGCGAGGCGGTTTCTAGTGTGAGAAATTCGTATTCCTCGGTAAGGAGCTTACGCAACGCAAGACAAGCGCGCTTATTTTACACAAATACGTTTCGTAAATGTGTGTATTATAGCAAGAGAGAAAGTGTTATTGCTCCTCGCGCGATTGACCCTTTCATTAGTAAAGTCTGGTGACATCATGGGAGATTTTCATCCTAAATTCCCGTCCTGAGAAATTGAAAATTCTACCTTTGGTGTTCAACAGCCAGAGTATGACGATACTTCAAGATTTATCGAGACCTCCACACATCAGGACCTCCTGCTAGAGTTATGGGAGGATGCTGCACTATCTGTTTTATCGATAAATATTATTTTCATTTAACTATGTATTGGCTATACAGAATGAAAAATCCCTTATTAGAATTTAAGTATTCATAGTAATAAATCTGGGCTACTATATATATATATATATATATATATATATATATATATAAACCCAGCAAGAAAGCTAAATAATTACAGGTTTTTTATCGGTCTTTTGGGTCAACCTAAACGATAAGAAAGCTATAATTATTTAACTTTCTTGGTTTCATTTTACATACACATATAGTAGCCCAGGTTTGTTATTATGAATACTTTAATTCTATAGTAAAGGATTTTTCATTCTGTATAGCCAATAAATAATAAAATGAAAATAACATTTATCAATAAAACAGACATAGTCAGCATCCCCTTAAGGCCGCGAAGGCTAATCGGCGAGCGGAATTCTAAGCCATAGCGCGAATCGAGATGTAATCGATAAAGTCACCGCGGTTTTTGCTCGACTTTCACCCGACTCCCGATGGAACGAGCCATTTTTCTTCCCGGATCGCTGGTTGAAGGAATGTCACGGCTGCGCGAATCTTGACCGACTTGACATATGCTTACCTCACGTTACGTCGCGCGTTATGTCAACGCAATATATGTACCTATACGAATATGATACGGCAAGAACCTTTATCGATTTGCTTTTGTGTGTCGAATCTCTTCTAGAATTTTTGCAAGTGTTTCAAAACTTTATTTTATTCACGTAATAGACGAACACCGATTGTTTCCGAATGCGCATACAATATACCTATACCGTGAAAAATTTCAACAGACTCTTCCAAGCTTTTCAAGGATCCAATCAGGTTTGTCAAGAGTTAAACCTGTTCTTGAGCATCTGTAAGCGGCATATGCGAGATGATGATAAAATTTTCCAAATTCTTTCTCAATATTTTTCCTTCCCGGCCTCTTCCAAATCGTTTATTAATCTAATTATTTTTTTGCAAAATATCCTGGCCTTTTTTCTCATACGTTCTCGCATTTGTAGAAAAATCAGAAATCTCGTTTCTCGTTCCACGAAACAACAATACTGTTCGTAAATATCGACGGGACGAATCTCAACAGGCTGTTCGCTTCAACGATACATAAATATCGGAACGATAAATATTTTAAGAGAGAATATTATTGAGATAAAAAGAATTTTAACTTTCGGAGAATGTTGTTCATCGACTAAACTTATCTTTGTTTGTTTACAGATTTAATGGATAAATCGACAAGAGATGATAAACAAATCTCTCTCGAAAATGACCACGTTGACCACGACTGCTCTTTTGCCGGAAATTGAAGAAGAATTATCGTTCGAGATGAATTCATCCTTTACGACTCTCGCTGTTCAAGATACGATTTACAAAGGGGAAGGAAACGCCAATATCGCTATCGCATTGCCGCACGTAAGTCAATAATTACGTTACTGTATGTTTCGAAGAGGTACTTTGCACCGCTAAAAATCATTTTACAATCGTCATGTGATTAAATTTTAATAATTTTTTAAATTATATAAATATATAAAATTTCTTATATTTATCTACTTTATTAATTTACATTTATATTTATAATATGTATATTATATTTTATTTTATTTTTATTTCAATAATTTTTAAATTATATAAATATTATAATATAAATATATAAATTTCTTCCTAATGCTGCGACAACTGTCACGTCGTCCGCGCGTAATCATTCAAAGAGCTAAGAAATCTCGACCTTCCTTTCTCATCGACCCCCTTTCACGCTTCTCGAACCTCATCGACGAGCCCTTGAGAATCATTCCCTCCAAGATCTCTTTCCGAATAAGACAAGGTCTGGATAAACTCGGCTTCTTCACTTTGATCTCTCGCGAATCTCGCCATTTTATTGCGACCCTCTTTCGATCTCATTACCAAACTTTTTCCGTCTGCAACTGCATCAGTCTCCGTAATGTTTTCGGCGTCCGACAAAGAGTAAAAAGCTTCCTACACACACATATATATATATTAATATACTTTGTGTAATCTCCAGAGACATGTTTCATGCACAATGATGAAGACGCGCTTTCGTTTAAGAATTTACGCGCCTAAATAAATAAATTTGCGAGCGCGCAAGCATAACAAGTCTAGAAGAAAGCGGAGAAACGTTACCTTGTAACGCTTGATACCTTCAAACGTCGTCTAATGCGCGAATCGCGTACCATAAACGCGCGGCTGTTAGAGGAGATGCAAATGCGCAAAAACGCATAAATAGCCCTCAAAGCCGAGACGTAGAGAGAAAAAGAAGAGAGGGCATTTCTCGAGAGTCCCTCACTCGCGCGATAATCGATCGATCGTGTCGTCGACAAATAAGAACATACGCATACACACACACACACACCCGCAATTTCTTACCAAGTTGTCGCGGGCAAAAGACCCGAGGCGGTTATCGGCGCGATAACAATTTTGCAAGAGCGACCTCGAATTAAGAGCTCGCGGGGCGAAAAACAAGTCGATCCGATGTTTAACATTGTTGCGATTGTTGTTAATAACGTTATCGTTAAAAAAGAGAGACGATCGATCTTTGCGTCATTCCATGTACAGGGTGTTTCTCAAACTATCGGAGGTTTCAAGAGCGTACTCTAGGGCTCAAAATAAGAATCCAAGTTTCTATAAATGTGAAATCTCTCTCTCAAATTCGAATCCAATTCTCAAAACTACATAAAAATGACGTACTCAATATTAATTATTACGATATGCCAAATTTGAACATCTCTCAACTTTGGAGGACTAATTCGGAGGAAAAGCATTTTTGAACCTATTTTTTCTTATTTTAATCCCTGACAATTTTAGAAACACCCTGTATATTTCTGTTTCGGAGAAGAAAAGCAATCTCAATTTGATGAGTTGCGCAGTTTCTTGAGTAATTAAAAATTATCTAATAAGCACGTAATTAGTCGAAAACTGTTGGCTCGTTTTATAATACGCATATATATGCGCGACAATTTTTGTTGGAACTGGAAGACGGTCCAACTAATGGACTGTATACGGCCCCGTATTCTTTCGCGACGCGGACAAACGATCCGTACAGGCATAAATAATTTGGCTTAATTACCCGTCTCTCTCTCTCTCTCTCTCTCTCTTATCTCCGGCGTTTATTTATGCGCAGCGTGTCGCGTCGCGAAGCTTCGCAGGAAATGAATTTTTCCACCTCGCTTGCATCTCTCTTTCCTCGGGTGCGCGTTTCGCGGGATCGATATCGCTCTTATCCGATGATGACTGTACATAGGTGTGCGCGATATACACGCTCTGGGGATCATCGTTATCGCATCGAATATCACGATGAATGCGCGTCTGTTGGAATTGCAAGATAGCAGATGCGCGATTTATAATGTGTATCGCGCAGATCGTATATAAGATACAATATATACATCCGTTTTGTATAGAGAGTATCAGGGATTTTTCCGCGGTTCGTTTGAATCGTTATCTGCGTAGGTGTGTTTTACTCTCCATCCTACTTTTGTATCATCAAATATAGAAGGCTCTAAACTTTTTATCACTCTCCGACGCGCTGTCAAAGAACGGTGTATCGGCGCTTATACGATTACTCCAGCGACAGATGGGTGCTTTGCTACGTATTATGCGGTCGTTGTGCACTTTGATAACGCGTGTTCGCGCTCATAGAACCTCTGTTCCTGCCGTCGAAAGTTTGTCGACCTGCCTGCGTTCGGCAACGGTGTTTGACAGTTTGGATGAAAAAGAGAGAAGGATGAATTATAGAACCGCGCGCGTCTCTCCTTTCTAAATATATATATATATATGCTTAATATATACTCTCGACCGCGATATTTCTATCTCTCTACGTTGAGAAAAAGCAACGTCGACGATAAAACTTTAACAGCACAAACAGCACTTAAGTATACGCTAGAAGAGGATGTCGCTTCTTCCGACTTGACTTTTTCCTCCCTCCTGGTTCTTTCATATCGTCACGTATTTCCTCTTCACGTAGCGACCTTAACCCGCGCGTTGTGAGTCATTTTGTAATTTTATTACGTGACTCGGCTGCATCGTGTGACTCTGAAAGAGAGAGAGAGAGAGACGATCAATCAGCCGCAAAGGAGAAATCGAGTGGAAAAGATTTTCGAGGCTCCATTTTAACCTTCGGCAACCCGATCTTTAGAATATGCCGTTTCATCTGATTCCTGCAGCTTGATACATTCCTTCGATCCTGAGTCGCTCTTTACAGATTCTCGACACAATCGCCTTTCTCTACGATTTGGCAAAGATTTTTCAAACACAGAAAAAAAAGGAATCCTTGATTCAAGTATATTTTTATTCTTGAACGCTATTTGATTGATTTAAGCATATAGAATGCTCTTTGTAATCACAAATTTTCATTTGCCTTAATAATAAATAAGTTTGTGTAAAGTATATTTTATCCTTAAGATATATTCTTGTTTTAAAAATCGCATATGGTAAAAACAAACTTAGTCACATTTGAACTAAAAATTATTATATATATTTGAAAGTACCACTTATATTTGATGCTCACTGATCACTTGTCCTTGCAATATTTATAAGTAAATTTCAGCTTCAACCAAGAATATTTGCACTTTGTTTTAAGGATAAATTATCCTTTATCCAAAATTATTTATATTTGGCGTTATTATAAGGATAAAATATACTTGAATCAAAGAATATTTGCATTCTTTCAAGGATACTGTTTTTTCTGAATTCCGCCGTTCGGGAATTGCATGGAATCGGCCGGATATTGAATAAAATCGTTAATCGCGACCCCGGGAGTGAAACATCGTTACCCAACGATAGATTCCTCCAATCCGTCATCATTTCGAGCATACGTCGCGTTTATCGGTTTTAACGAGTCCGCGCGGCTCTGAATCGTCTTGTCTCTTTCTCTCGCTCCTTTTTAACCCGACTTAATCTAGCACGATGTTAGTAACCTGGTTTCACCCGGCAATAGCGTTTTGCTCGATACCGAGTATAGTCCGCGCGCTCGATCAGTAATATGGCAAAGAAGCTTTTCTACAGAAGCTCGTCTTACTCTGTGCGTATATTAGATATAGTTGAGAAATCTGTATCTGTAATACATAAAAATAAAAGTTGTATACAGTGTTGTGCTTAGATGATTTTCGAATTAGCTAGATTCTTTAGGTAACAGCAAACACTGGTTGTATAAAAAAAGTGTTGAAATGCAATTGCAAGATGCATTATCGACAACTTTACGTCACGGTTCGCATCAGAGACTCTCTTTCGCGAATCCTGAATTTAACAATCACGCGATACGCGACTCCGATGTTATTTTCCCGTTGCACGGTACGTATTGGTCGAATCTCGGCAGATTCCATGATTACAGGCATTACGCTATTTTCCAAGTACAACACGCCGAGAGCGACAGCGTCTCATTGGCGGTTACGCGCGATTACCAATGATACACATCTGACTTGACTCGGCACGGACGTTAAAGCAATATCGGTATTTGTTTCGCGGAATGCTGTTTCTCTTCTTGGCCGCACGCGGCAATCGTCGAATGCCTATACGTAGCAGTCTCGGTAATCAGCCATAAATTGCAGATTCGATATATATATGCGTGTGTGCCGCGTTTATACAGAGTGAATTATCGTCACGCCATTAGCGATTAGAGTGGAAATAGAGTTGGACGGAAGAATTGTTTAATTCATCGTCGACGTTCGTTGATTAGAAGAAAAAAAGAGCGGAGCATAACGGGAAGAGGGAGGGAAGTTGATATTCAAGTGCGAATCCGGGATCGATGATGCGCGTCGCGATATCGCGCGATTCATCCCACTCGTTCGGTTCGCTCCGGCTTTGGCTCGTCGCCCGGAGCTGTTCTCTCGCTCTTCAAGGTGCGGATAATTGCGCGCGGAGCGTGGCCTATCTCTGCCTAATCAGTCATAGATCGCGGCCCGATGCGCGCGTGTATATACACGGTCCTCCGAGCGATCGTCACGCCGTTGGACGCGTTGCTGGACTCGCTGCTTCTCTCCCTCCGGGAGAGACTTCATAGAAGCGAGCGAGCGAGCGAGCGAGCTAGCGAGTAACCAAAGTGACTCGTGTAGCGAGTGCGAGAAAGAGACCAGGAGACGAGGAGAGACTTATCGGAGGGGCAAGGTTAAAGAGAGAGAAAGAGGGACCATTAACCGTTGGCCGTTGACCTCCCCGGTGACGGTGGGGGTGATGCGCGAGATGGAAGAGGAAAGGAGGCCAACCGAGTGGGGATCGGCCGACCGATCGATCCGCCACTCCACTCGGCGAGCAGCAGCTCGCCAGAACTGTGTTCACTGCGCTGGCGATCGTCGGCCGATGATGAATGGTTGGCCGCGATCGATGGATGCCTTCGCTTCGGAGCGATTTGTAATTAACACGCTTCCGCGATTCTTCCGAAGGTTCCTGAGGGGGTTCGTTGACCCCCCCAGTCTCGGCTGTCTGCCGGGACACACTTGCGGAGTAAAGAGGAAAAAATTTACATGCTCGCGAGATTAACCGCTCATTTCTCCTTCTCCTTTAACGTTTACAGCGATAACGGTCGCTTACGTCACACGTCGTTATCGCTCCTCTCGATTCTTTCATTCTTGACTCGATTTTACACGAGCGTAAAGCATTCAAGGCTGCATTCGAGAACCACGCTCTTATTAGAGTCGTTCCATCTTTATTACTACCTTATGAAAAGGTGAACAAGGACAGAAATACTCATCGTCTATATCAGAATGCCAGGGTTATTCCACAATAGGTTGTCAATTGACACTTGAGGATTGATCAATCAGAACCAAGCAACTTGTCGGCTGATTCATCAATATCGGTTTCAGATACGTTCTTAAAAGGAGACAAAGATATAGTTTATCTTAAATTAAAGTTAAAAGCAAATATTAATGAAATTGGCCCAAGAGTTTGGTTCCCAACGCAATCCAAGTTGGTCTCTTGAATTCTCGACGCTCGTATATTTGGAAAAAAGGAAGAACGAAACGTGAATTGACCAGTTGACACTTGAGGATTGATCAGAGCAAAGCAACTTGTCAGATTTGATTCACCAACATCGGTTTCGTTCTTAAAAGGAGACAAAGATGTAATTTATCTTAAATTAAAGTTAAGCAATGTTGGTGAAATTGGCCCAAGAGTTTGGTTTCCAACACATTGCAGTCCAAGTTGGACTCTTGAATTTTCGTCGTATTTATTTGGAAAAAAGGAAGAATGAAACATGAATTGGGACGAAATATGACCGGGCGAGATATATAATGGCGTTATATATAGTTTGTTTAACCGCAAAAGCCGCAGGCGCGACACTTTGGACAGGAAATTGCGCGCTCGCGTGTATTCGTGCGGCTGCAGGCGCGATCCTGGGTTGGCGTTGTCGAGGTTCCTCCCGGTCGATCCGATCTGTCGCGCGAGCGGACGACCGAGGGTCACGCTGAATTTAATGAGCTCATACGTATAGCCACGGACACGGTTCGCCGAAGCGGGCATCCGGTTTTTCTCTCTTTCCCTCGCGGAATCGAAACGATATCGATTTCCTGCCGCGTTTGTGCGTTTATCGTCCGCTTCAACGATGCGCGACGACTCGGATCTAATCCAAACTCTTGCGACACAGGGTGTACATCACTCTTGAGCCATGTCCCCGCTGAAGTAACAACGAGCAACTTTTTGTTCATGCTCCGTGTTTCTTGAAAAATAAGTTGCTGCCAAAAGTTTGGAGCAACAACATTCGTATAAGGTTGATCTTTTTTTCGTTCCACGCGCGAATAGTTTTCAATAGCCGATCTATGCATATATGTACAAGTGATTCCGAGAGTGAACAACCTTTCTTTTTTTACGCAACGCGAAAAGACCGAGTCGAATACTCATGCGTGAACTCCGATAAGAGGATAACAGACGCCGCACGCTCTGTCGGAGGGTCAAGTCTTTAAATATACAATGTATAATACTCGATACGCTCTCAATGTGCGGCTTTCAAAGCTCTCCCTCTCTCTCTACTCTCTCTTGTCGATTATTTTTCGCTGTACAGCCCGTTGCTGTATACAATCGTAAAGCTTTTGTTGCAATTTTTTGTTGCTTATTGCGTCGCGAAATTTTTTAAAATTCGTCGACATGTGTCAACTTGCGACAACATTTTCTTCATACTGAAGTAGCATAATTATACAGAAACATTTAGGCTTCGTTTCTATTCCCGAAGGAACGAATGTTCCTTCAGGCTGGACCCTCAATTTTCAGTGACGCGGTTAAAACGGGATTTTTGTTGCTGGCAACAGAAGCAACGAGGAACTTTAATAAACTTTCGGCAACAACTAGCAACTTTTTTAAGAAACATGGAAGTCGCTCGTTGTTGCTCCAGTGAAGACGCAGCTTAATGTACGCAACAACTCATCGAGACCGAAACGCGCCTGATGATCTCTCCTCGCTGCTTAATTTCGCTTACGCAACTCGAAGAAGCGATTAGCATTTTTTTCTTTCTTTTTTTTTCTTTCCTCGGTCCCGCTCGACATGTTATTTCGCCGCGGGCGATTAATTTATAATTCGCATTACGGATCGTTTATTATTCAACTTTGTGTATCGCGCGTATCGCGTTATTATTCTCAAGTGCGTCAATAATTATTGTCGTAACGTCTTGCGTATCGCAACGACTGATGATTACACAATATTGCGAGTTTAATAAATCACAACTCGATATCTTTATTCGCATCTCGAAACGCGATTACAATATATTAACGATAAAGTAACGGTAAAATTTCGGAAAATAAACTGACCGAATCACGATCTTTGTTTGTACAAAGATGTTGTCGAAAACGCAAACATTTATTCAAAATATTGATTATTCGAATTTATCCGGTATTTTTAGGCGCGCCATAATCGCGTGCGTTTGTCGGCGCAAACTATGCACGAAAGAGAGAGAAAAAAAAAAAAGAAAACCACGTAGATAGGTATATACACGGTTTGCATTAATAGACGTGACGCATGAAAAAAACTTGTAACCACGTCAGCCGACTTAGCCTATATATCGATTCACGGCGGTTCACGTCGGGTCGCACGCTCCTTCTGATGAAAGAGGAAAAGAGACGCGCGAGAAATTAAACCGGAGCTCCAGATTTTATTTTCGCATTCAATTGTGCCGGCCAGACAATCCGTTCTTCGAGAACGAGAGAGATAGGAGAGTTTCGACCTCGTCCGGTAACGGTTTCGCAAGAGTTTATATTCTATTTTTCCATCCACTTTGCTACATTTGTTTCCTTTTGCCTCTTTTCATCGACGTTGGTATCGACGGGTGGTCCGGCTATCGCGACTATTATCGAATCGTCAATAATTCGCACGTATATCGGTGGCGAACGGTCAGCAAAGTGGAACGCGTAGCAACAACCTGTCGAGCATTCGCCGCTGTACGTCATTATTGAGCCGACGGCCTCATCGGGCGCGTTCGTCTCTATCTTTTATTTATATGACGAAACGATCATCAGCGTGGCCGGTTTACCCCGCTAGCTAATTAATGCCGCAACATCGTCGTTTATGCGATATTCAAGCGATATAGCGATAGAGAGATTGAAGATCGCGAACAGAATCTCGAGCATTTTTATCGCACCTCGCCGATCCGGATCAATTAATGCCTGTTAAATTCATTGTGTTAAATTACACCTAATTTGAGTTCTTTTTAACCATCCCTATAAGTCGCCACTGCTCCTACTCAATATGTTGTTAATTTAACTAATTGTAAGACAATGGATTGACTAAAATTTAGTTTATTATTTACTATAGGTGTATAAGTTAATGTAACCCTTTGACTTAACAAAAAATGATTTTAACTATATATTTTTTGTTAAAGTAATAAATTTGATACATATAGTTAGTTAAACAAATTTAACTCGAGAAATTGGTTTAAATTTAATCCTTTTATATTTAACTGTGATGGATCGATTTGGAGGAGGCTAAATTGAACGAGTCTAGGAGCTTTGGGTTGAAATCGGAAAAGTGGACTCGGGCTCGGGGATAAGAGTCTCTTTCCTCGTTTTTCTCCGTGTGAAAATAACAAATTCGACACGGTACGTGATGCGTTTGTCGATCGAGCCGTGTCGAACGCGGCACGCTTGTTAAGTAACAGTTACATACGCCTGTTTGTCCAAGACTTGCGAAATTCTTGCGAGCAAGTGGCTGGGCTTTCGAAATGTCAATGAGAGAGTCGGGGCTTTCGTTATCGGAATGAAAAACGAAAATTGCGTTCGGTTCGCGCCGCATGGCAACCGATGCCAATTTCGGAAACACCATTTTTTTCATACATTAGTAATACATCGCTTCGACGTCCAAGTGACTTTGGGTTGTCCGAGGTCCGAGCGCGGATGTCCTAGAACTGTCGGCGTGATTTCTCTCTGCTGAAATTAGCGAGAGGAATAAGATGTATGATGGAAGGTGCGAGTTAAAAAAATGAAATCAAATGCGAAACGATTATCGCGCGCGGTATATCGATATGTCAATATATATATATATATATTTATCACCGACGGAAAATCAAAGAGAGAAAGAGAACCCGAACGAATCGAATAACGGAGTGTCCTAGAACCTTACCTAACCATCGCCCGCGCGCATATGATTAATAGCTCCGATCGGTTCGATCGGAGAGGCCGTGTAGCGACGAGATATAGAGTCGAACACGTGCTTGGAAACAAGAGACGAGGCGAGCCCACCCTGTTATCTTTAACCCGAGAATCTTTCATAGAGTCGACCTACATTCGCCGTTCGCTCGATGTCCCCAGGTTGGGAGGCGATTGATCCGTTCTTGATAACGCGAGCCGCGTATATCCACAGGCGCATAGAAAACGCTTCGCCGGGTCGTTTGTTTGTCCAGAGCGGAAACCGAGACCGGGTCGTTGCCAACGGGAAGAAAATAGCCGCGACGAACGTTTACCTTGGATATATTTTTTTTATCAGACGCGAATTTCCGTTTGCGTTTCCACAACTATTCTGGCGCAATTATTCCTCGTCGAAGAAAAATCGCGAAATATCAGACGCGATATCGATTTGATTTTATTGACTTTAGAGGGTTCGCCTTTTTTGCCTTTCAGGAGCGCAGGGTAATACGATTCCGGAAGTCGTTGCCGGGCGAGGTTTCACCGGACGGCGGCAAAACACGCGCGCACCGGGAGGTGTGGTACGCCAGGAACGTGGTTTCCTGTTTTTTGGGCTCTTATGCGCAGATACCCGAAATTATTCGTTACGACGCAGCTGATATAGCCAAATTGTCGGACGCCATCCGCCCTCATCGACCAGGTAAAATTCTTTTCCCACGCATATCGTTCAACACATCGCAGTGTCTCTCTATTATTTCTCCCCTAGAGAATTTATTATAACCAAATATACCAAATATTGGTATTTCAATAGCGTTTGAAAATTCATTCATTCCGCGAATTTGTTTGAAAATTAATTCAATTGGTCCGCACAATTGCGGCCTTTGTTTCTTGTTAATTTTGGTTTAAACTCTCGTGATTACGAACAATTATTTCGAACATCCGCTTTCTCCGGTATACGATGTAGATTTTCAATATTTGCGTGCGATCGCGTGCCGTTAAAATGAACAGGTGCTTTCGGATCGCGCCATCTTTACTTATCGAGATAGTCGTCGAATTATTCTTCCTCGATATTCGAACACCTGCCACTTTATTTTTTTTCCCGATGCTTCGAATATATATACAAATAAATATCCAAAGTCGGGAGCAGCGAGTTTCTCGTGCACGCGAGAAGCCTGGAGCTGAAATTTCATCGATTTTTGCCCGTAACATTGTAAATAAGAGCCGATCAGGTTGTACCTTGTTGCCGCTTCGCTTGTTTCGTTCTTCTTTGACGTGGCATAGAAAACTACCGATCGATAACATCGAATGATAATATTACAGTGTCCGAAGCAGAAAGAAAGTTCGCTTTGTAAATTAATCGATTCCGCAGATTCGCATAAACGCGTCCTGATGGAAATTCATCAAGTTTGGCGATTTAAGGCTCCTAGGTCATGTTAGATTGTGACGTCAAAGGTGAGAAAGCATATACTGAAAATTGTTAGATGCCATTTTTAAATGAAAAGATATTTTACACACTTTTTAAAATACATCGAAAAGGGAAAACTTCTTTTCCCTTGACAGTCAATCAACAGCCGTAAAAACTTTGTTATGAGAAATGACTGCGCATGTGCAAAGAGCAGCCTGACCCTCATGTTACAGTTTACAATAATTTTACAGCTGTTGATTGATTAAAAAGAGAAAGGGATCATTTTAAGAGAGTGCTAAAGCACCCATTTCAAATGCTGTTTCATCGAAATATTTTGTTATTTCGAAATGGCATCTATAAGAATTTGTAGTTTTTGCGTTTTCTCGTCCGTTACGTCACAATTCCAACATGATCGACGAGAAGTCAGAAGCCTTAATAAATTTTCAAAATTCGGAAACTTAATTATTTTCGCATCGGACAAATATTATAACGCCATTTATATGTTTTCTATTATGGAAAATGATTTTCTCTTCTTTTTACATTTTTGTAATCTATATACTTTGCGCTAGAAATCATGAACGTTTTATCGAGATAAAAGTGCGTAATGTAGACGCGCGCGATATATTAAGTCGCGCGGAGAATTAGACATCGCTGTCGTCATTAATAATCGCAGCGGCGCGGCGGGATAATTATATATTAACATTTTATCCCGACGATAACAACTTTCTATCCGAGGGAGAGGAGGCCTGTCAAAATCACTCTGCGCGAAACGATCTCTCGTATAGACTCGTAGGCGGCGAGCAAACGTTATTCAGACGTTTACGTGAGAATCGGCTCCTCCCTACTTGATAGCTAATCGATGCCGACGATTATAAAAAAAAAAAAAAACGTCATGCCATTTACGTCTATATATATTCTCACGAACAACCGCGTGAGAGATAATCTTTCTTTAATTCATATAGTAATATTTATTACATGTCGCAGCAACTAACATGAATTAATTCTTGAGAAATATTAACAGATACCATTTTTCCTGAACAAGTCCACCAATCGATACTCGAGAGAGAGAGAAAGACCCGCAATTCGAATATCGCTGTCTCGACCGGCGCTTTTCGGAATTAAAAAAAAATATCCGCCTCTCGGAGGACCTAAATTTACGACACGCGGCTCTCGCAGGCTGCGTGCGACCCACACATTCTTCGTTTGCAGCTGCGCGCTCTCGAAACGACGACGACGACGACGTCGCCAGATGAGAAGAAGAAGTGTCCTCGAGATGACGTTTAAAGTCAGTGCGAGAATCCTGCGTCGCCTTGGCTGTCCGCCTTATCTTTTTAATCCCCTCTCGAGAGATACACGTATCCCGCGATAAACTATTTCGCTCACGTTTCTTAATTTACCTTGGAATTCCGAATAAACAGCTTTTAATCTACGAGGGAAATCTCAATCGTAGCGCGAATCTTCGCGCGCTCAGTCGCTTTTATCTATGAAGAGACCGCGACCCCGAGGTGTCCGTCGAGAAGGACACTTATTCCCTCGGAGAAGTCAATGCGCGCGTGTAAGGTTATTTAAATATCATCTTCAACGCGAGATCACCGATCTGGTGAGTTGTCTATAATAATTTCTAAAAAAAAATAAATAAATAATTAAATGATACTGAGAAGAAAGTACGTCAACGAGATCTATATACGAGCCTTATCTCGACTTTCGTCGGTTCCGATAGCGCGCGAAAGCACCGATATCGGTTAATCAAATGTAAAAGTTGGAGAGAAAACATTATTTTTCATCGAAAATTGCAGCATCATCTCGAACATAAAAGGCAAACTATGGTATAGATGCTTTCTTCCTCGCGGCAGATATTAATCCGCGTGATAATGAGTGTCATCTCTTAATCCCATCACACGTATACGTTTTAATCTTATACCTAACTTCTCGTACATCATTCGCGCTTATCTCAAACCAGCGAAAAACTTTCTCGCCATATCTACGGTTAATCAACGGTAAAATTACTCGTACACGTTTGACATCAAGTTGCGGTTGTAAACAAATGTCATCCATGTCACCTGACATTTATTCTACGATATTCATCCTTCGAAAAAAAAATCGCACGTTCGCAACTCAGCCTCGATGAACAGCCTCGCGTCAATTAACTGAAAGGCGTATAATAATAGAAGAGAAACGCCCACGCATGCATTCGCTCGACGAGGGAAACCGAATTTGATCTCGCCAAGATTTCTAGCCTACCTACCCTGGATGCGTTTTGTTCGAGAACATTTATTACACACAATGAAAGCGCGAGATGGTGGCTATGCGCGCGAGCGCGGATTTATTTTTGAATAATGCAGCAACGTTTATCATCCGCTATCGGCGAGAAGGAGATCCGCCCATTGTATGCAACGCGCCGACAATTTCGCCTTCTTCGAGTGCAACCACTTCCCTCTTCTCCTTCGATGCGAGATCGCCCCGGGTGATCATCGTCATCGTCCTTATCGGATCTATCGATCGCGCGTGTGCAAAAAATCCGGCTTTTTTTCTCTTTTTTTAGGATTATTTTTAAATATTGATAATTAATCTACCTCTATGATACCCTTGATAGACTTTGATGTAACATGGCAACTATAAGTGAGATAAGAATAATTAATTTTCCTATAAGAATAATATCCTTTGTTGCTAGGGAGAAAGAAATGGCTCGATATTGTGGCTGAAAAGGGAAAGAAATTTTATTTAATTTTTTTACAATCAATATCGAGCCATTCGTGCTCTACATTCGTGCGAGGGGACAGTTTGCGTGCATCTGTGTCTCAACACAGTTCGCGGATTAATCGTTTCGCGCGATAGACACATACTCGTTTGCTTGCGTGGGCGTGGACTACCGTTGTTTACGCTCAGGCGGCCAAAGTTAGCGTGTGTAAGGGAATGCCCGGGTGTATTTTCCACCGGAAATCTGTTCGACAGACTTTGCGAAATGGGGAGCACCGCGTTGGTGGCAGAACCCTCGGATGATGGGTGGTATACGCAAGCACGCAGGCAGGATGTACGCGCGGCTGCGTACAGGGGTGACTGGGAAGAGATGCTAATCGGAAGATGTCCTATCCCTTCACGTATATATTCACAAATTATAATCCTCCGTCTTATATTAATTAACCAAGATTGACCGTGACGCGCCGTTGCAGAGACTATAGACGGTGAATAAAAATGGAAACGCAGCTTGTTTTTGTATGCGTTTTCCCGCATATAAAGTAACGAGTTTTACATTTATTATGGTCTACGGTGATCGTTCTTTATTTCAAGTAACTGTCTTTTAGATTTATTCATTTTCCTCAAAACTTAATTTTGTTCTTTATATTACAATTTTGTCCTTTCCATGTTGACCATGTTGGAATTGCGACGTCAGAGGCGAGAAAATACGCGTTAAATATTTCGATGAAACAACACTTCGGATGCAGCTCACTCTTAAAGTACCTTGAAAACTATCCTTTTCCCTTTATAATCAACCAACAGCTATAAAATTACTGTAATAGGAGACCAGTCCGTCTAGTTTTTGCACATGCGCAGTCATTCCGCATGACACGATCATTTTACGGTTGTTGATTGACTGTCAAGGGGAAAAAATAGTTTCGGACTGTTTTACAAGTGTGCCAAAGAGATTTATAGTATTGTTTCATCAAAATATCTTTTTATCTAAAGATGGCACGCAAGAATTTTCAGCGTGCATTTTCTTCTCTGAAGTCACAATCCATGGCCGCGACGAGGAGCCTTACAACATGAGAATTTGTACCAAAACAACAAAACCTCTAATCTGTAACTTATTTAAGAAACCAAGGATTGCTTCAACATGGTCGAATCAATTTTAAATTAGAAAATGTAGACTTCTGATAGTCGGAATTATTTTTTTGTTGCTCGTCGATCTCCACTTTGATCGAAAATTGTTTGGAATCATTTAACATAGTTCCAAATCAGTTCGTGATCAAAGTAGAAATCGACGAGCAAGAAAAGAAATAATTCTGTGACTCTCAGAAGTTTACGTTTTTATTCTTATAATTTGAAACTGATTCGATTATATTGAAACCAATTGAAATCATTCAACATAGTCTCAAATCAGTTTGCGATCAAAGTGAAGATCAATGAACAAAAGAAGGAAATAATTCTGTGACTATTAGAAGTCTACGTTTTTATTCTTGTAGTTTGAAACTGATTCGACTATATTGAAACCAATTGGAATCATTCAACATAGTCCCAAATCAGTTTGCGATCAAAGTGGAGATCAATGAACAAAGAAAGGAAATAATTCTGGGACT